GTTTTGTCATAAACTATGTGTCCGATAACATACGTGAATGTATAACCGATATACCAAATGTATAGCTATACTGATTTAACCAAATTATGTAAACGGTTTAAAAATTACCAATGTGCTTTAATCAGTATATTCGATCCACGACGAAAGGTTGAAGTTCAATGTATGTATATACCAGCTACGCCCAAAGCCATATGGCTCGGACTCAGCGCCAGTCTGGTTATGTTAATCTCTTTTATTCAAATTCTTTAGTACTGTCACTAAATGCGAGTGACTTTTGGTTTATACGTCTAGTAATTACGTATTATTCGGATAATTGGTTAGTTCATTTCAGTAGTTTGTATAACATATCGGTGAATCCATCAATTTGTATTTTGTGGAAATTTGCATCCTCCACTGCTTCCACCAAATGTAAGCAACATTAGGTTAAAACGTATTTTGTTTCTTTTAGGATTTCGTATCCTCCAACGATGTAACCAAATGTAAGGAACATGTGGTTAAGCGTGTTGTGTTTTTTTTGTGGAATATCGCATCCTCCACTGCTGCCACCAAATGCAAGGGAAGTGGGGTTATCACGGGTATATTTTTACTGTGTACACTCTATGAGTGTTCATCAACCCGTGATGTAAACCCTACTATACTTAAGACTAAGCCCTTACTGTGCCTTGTACGTACCAGCATTATCATCTCTATCGGTGTGTGGCTTAAGGAGCGAGCGGATCTCCTATCACTGGTTGTGTACAAAGCTATGTGTTGTTTTGTGTAGTATTTAGTCGACCGACTGTTTTAGTTTATGCTGTTCCTTGCATAGACTATCCGTATAATACTACCGTACGGATATCCAACTGATTGGTACAAAGTCTAGTTTAAGGTCTGTTTTGGTAAACATGTTTTCCTTGATATCTCCATAACCATTTGTCCTACTGATCTCCAACAAGTACCATTGGCATCAGTACATAAAACCCGATTTCCAGTTCTCGATGACCTTGACCTTGTATAGGTGACCTTGACCTTGGAAATGTGACCTTGACCTTGGACGTGTGACCTTGACCTTGGACGTGTGACCTTGACCTTGGACGTGTGACCTTGACCTTGGACGTGTGACCTTGACCTTTGACATGTGACCTTGACCTTGGACATGTGACCTTGACCTTGGACGTGTGACCTTGACCTTGGACATGTGACCTTGACCTAGGGTCAGTAGGCCAGTTGTAGGCCAGTTGTAGGCCAGTTGTAGGCCAGTAGTAGACCAGTTGTAGGCCAGTTGTAGGCCAGTTGTAGGCCAGTTGTAGGCCAGTTGTAGGCCAGTAGTAGACCAGTTGTAGGCCAGTTGTAGGCCAGTAGGTCAGTGTGACAGTAGACAACGTGTCTAGTGCCTTATTACTATATCTGAGTTAACCTATCATAGCGCTTACGTTTGCATATACTATACTTATAAGTACACTTTACCGCTGTTTTGTCATAGTCATATACTAATACTATCCTTATAATAGAATCGTAACTATAGTATACAAAATACATTATATCTCTATTAACATTATGTCTATAACAATAATTTACTAGTACTGTAAATTAAATAATACAGTCACTATACTTATTTTAATATCTTTATAGTACAACTAACTATGACTATGTTAATAATAGGCATATACTAAGGCTATGCGTATAACACTTTAATACTTTAATACTAATAGTATTACTAACTATTAAATAGGTTACTCAACAATAAGGTTCACTCAACGTCGTCACGTGTCAACACTAATCTCTGGTCGGACCGGTCAGATCCTACCGTGTAGCGGACACAGTACCGGAGTTCCCTTCTATAGAGTATTCGCTTACGTAATAAGAGGACGACTCCCATCGGCGCGGCGTTCGATTGCTATCCCTTATGTTAACTGTATCCTATAGAACAGTTGGGCCTATAGGACCAATGGGCCTGTAGTGAAGCCATATGTGATCCATAATACCATCCATGACGTAATCCATGGTGTACTTCCATGACTCAATCGATAATGTTATCCATGATGTAATCTTTCTTGTGGTCAGCTTTCATCAGTATAACATCGATAGTGTAATCCATGACGCACCAGCAATCCAAGACCACTAGCCGCGACGAGTAAGTAATACACACAAAGTAATATGCAAATACTTTTATTTCATCTTATAAACAGTTATACATTGTAGCACTCCAAGAGAACTCCGAAGAGATCTCCGAAGAGAACTGAGAACTGATCTCAGAAGAGAACCCACTTTGGTGTCTGAAAGACACCTCTATTTATACTAAAGTGTACGTGAGAAATAATCAGGTCGTATTGAGTCAGCTTTAATCCCTGGGCGTAAACAATTCATTTTTCTGTATAACATTTCAATGCATTATTTTAACAGTGAAATACTAAATAAAAATAAAATAAAACTTTGCTTAAAAGTAGGTGTTTACTATTCACTTTTCTGTATAACACTTAAATGCATTTTTAAAAGTGAATTCTAGATTTTAGTATTAAGAAAATATAATTATTTAAATAAAAATAAAACAGCGTTGTGTTAAATTCACTTTAGTAAATTTAAACACAAACAAAAATCACTTTTGTATTGAAATAATTATAGCCTTAAAACACCAATCAGTATAGCATTGAAATGGCAGTGACTACCTATAACAATATTATATATATATATATATATATATATATATATATAAATAATCTTATAATAAGTTTTGCTTATATACATATATATATATATATATATATTATATAACATTAAGTGGTATCATGATAACTTTTTTTTTTGATAAATTATTAACGTTATTATTGTTCAAAATTAATAATAAATAAAATTATTTATTCATAGATAACCATAGATATCATGGTACATTTCATAAATTATAATAATAATTAAAAATTCCTATATATATATATATATATAATGTTAATCACTATACTACTGTATATACTATTATACTAAATAAAAAATTGTATAGTATTTATAAAAAAGCACATATATTTATAGTATATATGATATATATATATATATATATGATATATATATATTATGTTTAGTTTTATTTTATTTTAAATGTTTTTTTTATATATAAGTGCTATAAATATTAGCATATATATATACAATGATAATAAATTTAATAAAAATCCAATTTGGTCTCTTTATAGGCAACTTATTGGATGCATAATTGGACAAAATATAAAAAGTAATCTTATAATGAGTTTTTCCTATATATATATATACATATATATATATATATATATATATATATATATATATATATATATATATATATACAGTATATATATATATATATATATATATACAGAATATGCTAAATAAATTGTAAAGTATTTAAAAAGATATATTTAATTTTATATTATTTAATATTATTTTTTTTTAATTTTAAAATACAAGCGGAAGTTCTGTATAAAGCCGGGCACTGGCCTCATAACTGTCCATATCATCAGCACTGATACCATACTATAGTATACAGTGTCAATTTTTTTGCGTCTATGATTATCATTCACATCATCCCCATCAGCACCGGTAAGTTGGTTGAGTGCGTCAGTCAATTGGCGTATAGTTATCAGCGGCTGTTCATTGATACCCAATATATACTACTACTTATTTCTGTAGTTCCCTATAATAATAATAATAATAATAATAACAAACTATATATATAACTAATACTAATACTACTACTACTAATAAAATAATTAAATTATTGATTAGTTTACCGGCACCGGGAGAGTCGTTGTCGTATATCATCGACAGGTTTAATATGACTTTCGATAGGACGACACCCGAGAGTTTGACGGCCGGAGCCAATGAATACTTGATCTCACGGTAGGTCTGAAATACCCGATTGTCCTATTGTTTTGCTTTTTTTTTGATAAAATCTTTTTTTTGTTGTTGTTTTGTTGAATAATATATAATAAAGATTTTATTTATTTATTTTTTTAAAAAATTGAACACAAATATGAATACTTTGATTATAAACTATTTTTAAAAAATAATGTAAATTAATTTAAATTTGTTCTGGACAAATAAAAAAAAAAGTATTTAATAATTATTTAATTAATTAATAATAAATATATTTTTATTTTCTATAAATGTTATGAAATTTTTTTTATTGATATGATATATATATATATATATATTAGTCAAAACTGATATTGTATATGAAGTTTTTGTTGTTACTTTAAATACATATATATATATATATATATATATATCAAGTTTATATGTATTGATATAATATATTATAATACTGGATATTAAATACTGTTATTAATACTAATAGTTATAAAAATTAATGGGTAATACTGTAAGGAAATATCTACACAAAACAAAAAAAAACATTATTATAAATAAATTTATAATAATTAAAAACAATCATTTAGTATAAGATAATATTTTTAATGATATATTGAACAGTTCAATAATTTATATAAACAAATATAATATATATATATAAAAATAAAATATATATTAAACAAAATGTTAAGAAAATATCAAATTAATTTTTAAACATAAATATTATATTATAAACTATATATATAATATTAATCAAACATTTACATATTTAACATTTATATTACATATTTAAAATAAAATATTCTGGTTATGTTACTAAATGATAAATTTTTTTCTAAATATTTAAAAATTATTTAGATTATACAATATATATATACAGTATATATAAATATATTATCAAAACATTTGGGTAATACAATATTATAAAAATATATTTCAAAAAATATTTCATAACATTATAGATTATGATTTAATCAATTATATATATTATATATATATATATATATATATATATATATATATTTCTATAAAAAAAATATATTGAACAGTGAATAATTGTATAAACAAATTACATATCTAAACAAAACATATTATACAAACAAAAACAAAAATAGATATCAAATTAAATTTTTTTTTTAAAATATTATATAAACTCATAACAACTTATATATTATAATTTCAATGTATAGTTGTTTGACAATCAAAACACTTAAAAAACTTTTAACTTTTATTTTGTTTGTCTTAAATACTCATAAATATGATTATTAATTATATATGTCTATTTGCTATTACAATCACTGCAAACATTGCAATCAATGGTAAATAATTATTAAAATTTAAAAAAAAATAATAATTATAATAATCTTATAATTTATTACAGATGCTGTCGTAGTCGACGAGATAGCCATCAATGTATGCAACGATTGGGTGGCCTATGAAAAGCAAAAGTGTCTGAAAGTGATCGCCGAAAGGGCATCGCAGGAGACGGCACTTAACCGATGCCAACGGCTGGACACCCGTTCGCGGCTTATGTATATCGCCGATGACCGGCAACAACAGTTTGCAGTAAAACTGTTGGCTAACTATAGCCAAATTGCCGACCGGGTATGGCTGGGCAATAAAGTAACCGCAGCGACAACACCGTACAGCAACTGGGCTGACGGTAGTCCCGATTATATACCGGTAGTGGTCACCGAATCGGGCTATAACAACGGTTACAATAGTTACGGTCGAACCAGCCGTAGTAGTAGTAGTAGTGGCAACAGTGGTAGCAGTGGTAGTAGCGCCCGATGCGTCCAAATGTCGGTCACCCGTAACCATATCGGCAAATGGTATGACGAGCCGTGCAAACGTCGGGCACTGATTGTATGCGAACGAAGCCAGGAATGGACTATCAATATACTGAGCACTGCATTGGAAAACATTACCCGTTTGGTCAACAAACACGAACAACAACTGGCCGTCGCCGCCGCCGCCGACAACAATAGTCAACCGTCACCACAATTGTCCGTACAGTTGTCGTCCATACCAATTGGTTTCGTATACATACAACTGGCCAATCAAAGCGAACCGCACCAGCTATGGCCGCTGACCAATTGGCAACAGATTAGCGATCAATACGCTGGACTAGTTTTTCGGGCCGCAGCCGCCGTCACCGCCGCTGGTAATGACAGCAGCAGCGATGGCCAGTTTGTGGCTAATTGTTTGCCGAAACAGCAGCAGCGGCGGATCAAACAAAACTTGTTGTTTACAACAGAGACCGGTTTGCTGGACAAACAGGAGGTAAGGGTTGCAATACCGGTGACCGACAGCAGTGGCGGCGGCCGCGGAAATTGGGAGGTAGTAGGCCCGTGGATGATACCAACGGGAGGGCGTGTAAACGGTTCGGACAGTAGTAGTAGTAGTAGTGGTGGTAGTAAAGTATTGGTTAACAAAACGCCGACCACTACTACTACTACTACCGATGAGGAGGAAAAGTGCAGACCAGTCGACGATACGGCCGTAAAGATTTGGAAACGTATTGTTTAATTGATTTATTGTTATTGTCGTACATATAATACATATGTATTGTCAATACAGTCAATACAGCGATGATTTGGTACCCAATAATCTCTAACATTAACAATACATTCAATGAATAAAATATTTTCAGAGACAGTAATAACGTTTGTAATGATTATGTAATAAATTGAAAACTTAGTACTATTTACAAGTGAGAGATAGTCTAAAATTTTTCAATTTTCCAGTATTGCATCATGGACAATTATTTTTATTTTGTTGTACACACAGTATTATAGAGTGGAAAAATAATAAAGTTTAATAAAATTAATACAGCATTTAAAATTTTTAATGTAAAATAATTAAATAATTAATACTAAATAATAAATTTTTTATCTATATTTTACTAAATTACATGTTTTATAAATATTTTATTATTTATTAACATTAATAGTATAGAATAGAAAATAGACAATTTTCTTCATTATATTATGGACAATAATTTATGATTTTTTAATATTAAGTAGTATATACAGTAGTATAGAAGGGAAAATTGAATATAATATATATAACTCATACTGAAATATACTAAATAAATATTTTTAATGTTTTATAATAAATGACTAATCTCTAATCTAATCTCTAATCTAATCTCTAATCTAATCTCTAATCTAATCTCTAATCTAATCTCTAATCTAATCTCTAATCTAATCTCTAATCTAATCTCTAATCTAATCTCTAATCTAATCTCTAATCTAATCTCTAATCTAATCTCTAATCTAATCTCTAATCTAATCTCTAATCTAATCTCTAATCTAATCTCTAATCTAATCTCTAATCTAATCTCTAATCTAATCTAATCTCTAATCTAATCTCTAATCTAATCTCTAATCTCTAATCTAATCTAATCTCTAATCTAATCTAATCTCTAATCTAATCTCTAATCTAATCTCTAATCTAATCTTTAATCTAATCTTTAATCTATTTTTATATCAAATATCTAAACTCGAACATCTAATATCGAAAATCTAACTGCAAACTTCGAATATTAAACATCGAATATCGAATATCGAATATCGAATATCTAACATCGAATATCGAACATCGAATATCGAATATCTAACATCGAATATCGAACATCGAACATCGAATATCGAATATCGAATATCTAACATCGAATATCGAACATCGAACATCGAATATCGAATATCGAACATCGAACATCGAATATCAAATATCGAATATCGAATATCTAACATCGAATATCGAATATCTAACATCGAATATCGAATATCTAACATCGAATATCGAACATCTAATATCGAATATAGAACATCTAATATCGAATATCGAATATCTAACATCGAATATCGAACATCTAATATCGAATATAGAACATCTAATATCGAATATCGAAAATCTAATATCGAACATCGAACATCGAACATCGAACATCAAACATCGAACATCTAATATCGAATATCGAATATCGAATATCGAACATCGAACATCGAAAATCGAATATTAATTATCGAAAATCTATCAACGAATATCGAATATCGAATATCTAACATCGAATATCGAATATCTAACATCGAATATCGAACATCTAATATCGAACATCGAACATCGAACATCGAACATCTAATATCGAATATCGAATATCGAATATCGAATTCGAACATCGAACATCGAACATCGAACATCGAATATCGAATATCGAACATCGAACATCGAACATCGAACATCGAAAATCGAATATTAATTATCGAAAATCTATCAACGAATATCGAATATCGAATATCTAACATCGAATATCGAATATCTAACATCGAATATCGAATATCTAACATCGAATATCGAATATCTAACATCGAATATCGAACATCTAATATCGAATATAGAACATCTAATATCGAATATCGAATATCTAACATCGAATATCGAACATCTAATATCGAATATAGAACATCTAATATCGAATATCGAAAATCTAATATCGAATATCGAACATCGAAAATCGAATATTAATTATAGAACATCTAATATCAAATATCGAAAATCTAACATCAAACATCGAACATCGAAAATCTAATCGAAAATCTAATATCGAATATCGAACATCAAAAATAGAATATCGAAAATCGAACATCGAACATCGAAAATCGAATATTAATTATCAAACATCTAATATCGAATATCGAAAATCGAATATTAATTATCAAACATCTAATATCGAATATCGAAAATCGAACATCGAACATCGAATAGCAAAAATCTAATATCGAATATTAATTATCGAACATCGAATCATTTAATATAAGATATTTCTAATCAAACATATATATATTGAACAGTTCAATAATTTATATAAACAAATATAATATATATATATAAAAATAAAATATATATTAAACAAAATGTTAAGAAAATATCAAATTAATTTTTAAACATAAATATTATATTATAAACTATATATATATATATAATATTAATCAAACATTTACATATTTAACATTTATATTACATATTTAAAATAAAATATTCTGGTTATGTTACTAAATGATAAATTTTTTAAAAATATTTAAAAATTATTTAGATTATATAATATATATATATATATACTGTATTATCAAAACATTTGGGTAATACAATATTATAAAAATATATTTCAAAAAATATTTCATAACATTATAGATTATGATTTAATCAGTTATATAAAAATATATTGAACAGTGAATAATTGTATAAACAAATTACATATCTAAACAAAACATATTATACAAACAAACAAAAACAAAAATAGATATCAAATTAAATTTTTTTTTAAAAATATTATATAAACTCATAACAACTTATATATTATAATTTCAATGTATAGTTGTTTGACAATCAAAACACTTAAAAAAACTTTTAACTTTTATTTTGTTTGTCTTAAATACTCATAAATATGATTATTAATTATATATATCTATTTGCTATTATAATCACTGCAAACATTGCAATCAATGGTAATTAAATAATTTAAAATTTTTTTTTTAAATTAAAATTATCTTATAATTTATTGCATAATATAACTATACTATCGATAGATGCCGTCGACGAGATATCCATCAATGTATGCAACGATTGGGTGGCCTATGAAAAGCAAAAGTGTCTGAAAGTGATCGCCGAAAGGGCATCGCAGGAGACGGCACTTAACCGATGCCAACGGCTGGACAGCCGCTCACGGCTCGTGTATATCGACGACGACCGCCAACAACAGTTTGCAGTAAAACTGTTGGCCAACTATAGCCAAATTGCCGATCGGGTATGGCTGGGCAATCAAGTAACCGCAGCGACAACACCGTACAGCAACTGGGCTGACGGTAGTCCCGATTATATACCGGTAGTGGTCACCGAATCGGGCTATAACAACGGTTACAATAGTTACGGTCGAACCAGCCGTAGTAGTAGTAGTAGTGGCAACAGTGGTAGCAGTGGTAGTAGCGCCCGATGCGTCCAAATGTCGGTCACCCGTAACCATATCGGCAAATGGTATGACGAGCCGTGCAAACGTCGGGCACTGATTGTATGCGAACGAAGCCAGGAATGGACTATCAATATACTGAGCACTGCATTGGAAAACATTACCCGTTTGGTCAACAAACACGAACAACAACTGGCCGTCGCCGCCGCCGCCGACAACAATAGTCAACCGTCACCACAATTGTCCGTACAGTTGTCGTCCATACCAATTGGTTTCGTATACATACAACTGGCCAATCAAAGCGAACCGCACCAGCTATGGCCGCTGACCAATTGGCAACAGATTAGCGATCAATACGCTGGACTAGTTTTTCGGGCCGCAGCCGCCGTCACCGCCGCTGGTAATGACAGCAGCAGCGATGGCCAGTTTGTGGCTAATTGTTTGCCGAAACAGCAGCAGCGGCGGATCAAACAAAACTTGTTGTTTACAACAGAGACCGGTTTGCTGGACAAACAGGAGGTAAGGGTTGCAATACCGGTGACCGACAGCAGTGGCGGCGGCCGCGGAAATTGGGAGGTAGTAGGCCCGTGGATGATACCAACGGGAGGGCGTGTAAACGGTTCGGACAGTAGTAGTAGTAGTAGTGGTGGTAGTAAAGTATTGGTTAACAAAACGCCGACCACTACTACTACTACTACCGATGAGGAGGAAAAGTGCAGACCAGTCGACGATACGGCCGTAAAGATTTGGAAACGTATTGTTTAATTGATTTATTGTTATTGTCGTACATATAATACATATGTATTGTCAATACAGTCAATACAGCGATGATTTGGTACCCAATAATCTCTAACATTAACAATACATTCAATGAATAAAATATTTTCAGAGACAGTAATAACGTTTGTAATGATTATGTAATAAATTGAAAACTTAGTACTATTTACAAGTGAGAGATAGTCTAAAATTTTTCAATTTTCCAGTATTGCATCATGGACAATTATTTTTATTTTGTTGTACACACAGTATTATAGAGTGGAAAAATAATAAAGTTTAATAAAATTAATACAGCATTTAAAATTTTTAATGTAAAATAATTAAATAATTAATACTAAATAATAAATTTTTTATCTATATTTTACTAAATTACATGTTTTATAAATATTTTATTATTTATTAACATTAATAGTATAGAATAGAAAATAGACAATTTTCTTCATTATATTATGGACAATAATTTATGATTTTTTAATATTAAGTAGTATATACAGTAGTATAGAAGGGAAAATTGAATATAATATATATAACTCATACTGAAATATACTAAATAAATATTTTTAATGTTTTATAATAAATGACTAATCTCTAATCTAATCTCTAATCTAATCTCTAATCTAATCTCTAATCTAATCTCTAATCTAATCTCTAATCTAATCTCTAATCTAATCTCTAATCTAATCTCTAATCTAATCTCTAATCTAATCTCTAATCTAATCTCTAATCTAATCTCTAATCTAATCTCTAATCTAATCTCTAATCTAATCTCTAATCTAATCTCTAA